TTTCTCTACAATAGGCAAGAAACTTGTAAACTAAAGTGGAAGGCAGCCATGCTAACAAGTGAAATAAGGTAATGTGATATACACAAAAATAGTCTCATACGTGAGATTCTGTAAAGGACAAAAGAGTGCCATGCCTGCAGCATCACAGGTAGTTAGTGCTCCATCAGACTGTGACAGAAACGGAGAATTTGTCCGTGGAGGGGAGGGGGGTCACAGGAGCAAAGCGGGGGAGGTCCAAGGGAAAGGTTAGAATGGGTGCGAAAAGGGAGGCTTGAAACACTACCCTGCCATGAGAAACAATGAACAGCCAGGTGTGCTGGGGCACAAATGAAAAAGGAAAGTGGCAGGTTATGGTCCCACAGGCCGTTGGGGGTCAGGGTGCTGAGGACAGTACAGCTGTGCTAACCCGAAGTGCTCTGGTTTTATCCAGTGAATTATGTGGACATCTTAAAGGTTCAAGTGAGAAAGGAACATGGTGAGATTTTTCTTTCAAAGGAATTCCTCTGGCCGTATGATCAGGGAAGTGTTGAAGACAGAGATTAGGAGACAGTTAAGAACGCAAAAGTTTCTTTTCACAAGGGGCACTAAAATATCACTGGGCATGTAATAAAATTCAGAAAATTGTATTGATACGACGTCTATACCTGGATGGAAGTACTACTTAAAAGATACCACAGATGTAAAACAATGCCCAAAAAAAAGAAAGAAAAAATCACTAAAACCAATTCCTGTTTTGTTTTTGTTTTTGTGTGTTTTTTTTTTTTGAGAGGCTTTTGCTATAGGGTGTGTGTGCTCACCAGAGAGACAGAGAGACAGAGAGACAGAAAGCAAGAAATCACCCCTCGGGAGGGATGACCATGCCACAATCCCTTCTCCTCCATTCTCCCCTCGGGATCTTGGGCGCGCTCACACATGTGCCCGGCATGAGTTTAAGCCACCAGGTCCAGGACTCGAACTGTGCTTGACTACGTGGGAGTCCAGCGACATAGCCATGATGCCAACTGCTGATTCCCAATTCTTGTTCTTCAACAATGTGGCTAAAGCCTCAGAAGACCAAACACCAAAGGTGGCACAGGGATACCTAAGAAAGGTATTTGTGCAGACAAGGGCACCAGTAAGATTAGATTTCCATCATCCAGGAGGGTGTGTTTCCTATAAACTACAGCAGATTAATGCTCTGTCGCTCAACTGGTATAAGTTTTCTGGCACTTAGCTCCCATGAAATCTTTTTCTTTGGCCTCTTATACTAAGCAAAAGAAAGATGAAAGGGAAGAAAAGTACTTGGGTCCTGATATTCCTGGAATCTCTCTTCAGTGAACTGACAGTGTACAGGAATCACAAAGCCTGTAGCTCTAACTCAGGGAGAACAGGTCTTCGGAAACAATAAACTACAATGTAAATGGTGCAGCAGGTGGAAAGTCCTTCTGAGCATATTCCAAACTGTCCATTCCTCTGTCTTCTCTCACTCTGCATCTTTCACCAGATATGCCCCTCCATCTCCTCTCTCTGTCCTCCCATCCCCCAGTCCTCAGCCTATCCTCCAGATAGGCTTATTCCACCTCCCTGAGGCTGTAAAACAATTAAAGTCCCCTGTGATCTCCTCCTTTAATAAATAAACCAAATTCAGAATTCATTTTCTCTACATGCCTGAAACATCTCTCACACACACACACACACACACACACTCAAACAATATGCACTATTTCAATGAATTGTGCCAGAAACACAATGGTCATCTTTTTGCTACCTTTTTTTATTCCAGCACATTTACCAATCACAAAATTTAATCAGGCCTCCTCTGAAATATCTCTTGAAACTGAACATTTATATCCACCCCCAGTCCACCCCCCTATATCAGATATCCTTACTTCATTTGTGCGTCCATATCATTTATCTCACACAAATATCCCATTCCAATGAGTTATCCACAGCACAATCAGAATGGTCTTACTAAAAGGCAAATAAGGGACTAGCAGGTGGCATGGTGGTTAAGGTGCTGGACACTCCCACATAGCTAACCCAGGTTCATGTCCTGGACCTGATGGCTTGCTTTCTCACTTTCTCACTCTCTCTCTCTGTATCTCTCTCTGGTCAAATTAAAATAAATGAATTAATAAATAAATAAAATTAATAAATAATTCTTTAAAAATAAAATTTAACTTAAAAAATTAAAAAATAAAAGGCAAATAAGATGATGTCACTCTTCTGACTAAAACATTTCAATGATTTCCTCTTTTTAGGATGTGGGTCTTGATTTCTTTACATGGTTTACAAAGTTCTACAAAATCTGGTCTATGAGTATCTTTTATCTCTCACATTACATTATGTTCACGTTCAGACTTTTATAAATTCTACAGCCTGTGCCTGAATACTCTTTTATTTGCCCTTTGACTAGATAACATTTTTACGTTCTTCCTATCTCAGCTTGGACACTTATGTCTCCTGGGATTTCCTAACACCAAAATATTGGCTCATTGGAAAAGTCATGAATTTTTGCATAGTAAAACATACAAAAATACGTCATGACTTTTCTTTTTTTTCCCTAACCAACTGAGTTTCATTTGTTGTATAAATCACCTAACATCTTTCAAGTGAAAAAATACTAAATTTTAATAAAAATATAACAAAATGAATTAAAACCCAATAAAAATTAGCTTTTGGGAGGGAACATCATTCTACTCAATTAAAGCAAACATGTTTATAGACCACAGATTAGTTTATTCTTAATACCCATCATGCCATGAATTCACAGGGAATAGGTTCCAGTAGCTCAGGCTCCTTTCCATTGGTTCTCACAAAGTGTGCTTCTCTGAGTGGAGCAGGCTGGTGCTTCAGTTGAACACAGGTACCTTTCTCTTTGGCTTCTTTCTTTTTCTGGTCATTTTCCTTCACACATTTTAGGAAGCTATCTCTGCTCTTAGAATGCTTAATATGCTCAATACGCACATTAATTCTCTTGGCAAGAATCTTGCCCTTAACTGTTATTCACAACAATGCCAACAGCATGCTGGGTAACATTGTAGACTCTTCCAGTTTTACCATGGTAACATTTGTGGGGCATTCCTTTTTGAACAGTACCCATTCCCTTGATGTCTACAATATCACCTTTCTTGTAGATTTGCATATATGTTGCCTAAGGAACCACTCCATGTTTTCAAAAAGGCCTAGAGAATATATCCCTTTGTGTATGTCATTTTGGTTAATTACTGGAAGATGGCAATTCCGGCCAAAAGGAAGCCATGATGACTTTCCCAGCAACCCAATATACGTTCTTACCATGTGATGCCATAGTACTCTATACTAGGGCTTTTAGACGCAAACAACAAAACCAATTCTAGCTAATTAAAGCAGAACTCAAATATTTTAAATATTAGAGCACCAACAAAATCTCTCATATGGCCAAAGGGTGGAGCTTAGAAAATACCCAACCAGGGAACTGGAAGGTGGCATGATGATTAGGGTGCTAGACTTCCACATGGCTGACTGCAGTTCAAGTCCCAGACCTAGAGGTTCATTTTCACTCTTTCTCTCTCTCTCTCTCTCTCTCTCTATCTCTCTCTTCTTTCTCTTTCTCTCTCTCTATTTCTCTGGTCAAATTAACAAATAAATAAAGTTAAAAAAAATAATTCTTAAAAAAAAAAAAAGGGAAAGAAAATACCCAGCCAACAAGAATGCCCCAGGCTCCACTGTTGACTTCTGAGACTGGGCACTGGGTTTTACCACTGGGACCTCTTCTACTGCCTCAGATCAGTGGAGCCCAGATCACATCCCTGTGCCTCACAGCAGGGCACTGCGAGGGAGTTCCTGACATTTATCTTTAGATGTTAGGACAGTTAAATATTTTTAAAGTTTCTTTTATTCACAATAGAGAGTATGTGCATGCGCGTGACACACAGAGAGAGCAACAGCCACTCCTAACGGGGTCTTCATTATCACAATCCTCCCTGAGCCTCAGCCATTCCAGGTCATGGGCAAGCCCACATGGCAGCCATGCAATGGGACACAAATCTAGGATTTGATCCTGTTATACAGTTTTGTTGAAGAAGAGCTCAGTGGTCAATAGCCATAACCACCTATTAAATTTAAAATTGTTAATGAGTTTCTTAAAAAGTGTTAAAATTGTCAGCTGGTATAATATAAACCTTGTCAGTTTTCCAGGGACTCCTTTGGGCATTACCATGTCTGGCAAACACCTGGAGATTAATTAAAGAGTACAGAAATATGAGTGAAATAGTGGTACATATTCTCGGAGTGCAGGACACATACCATTGGGCCAGAAAGCAAGGTAGAGAGCAGGCAAGCATTAATGACCAGCAAAAATATGAGAAGAATCATCTCAGCAAATCAAAAAGACATAGCTAAAATCTGCAGCCTGGTTGGAAGATGTGGCATGCTGAATGCTGTGAACAAGGTGGCCAGAGAGGGTTAGAGGTGTTACCATGATCTGCCATAACACCCCATATGTCAATCTTAGCACTAATAAAATCTTATTAAATAGTTCATTCCCAGTTACCCTTGCCAATTTATAAGATCTGTGAAGACAAGGACAGTATCCATCTGTGCCTGTCCATAGATGATGTTAATATATTTGTTGCTGATATGAGTACATAGATAATGTATAATTTTAAAACATAAAGTGAATTAATGAGTGAATGAATAAATGAATGAGAGTGAGGATGAAGGCACAGAGGTGGCAGCGGGAGGTAGATGCCAGAGAATGGTGCCAGGTTGCAGTGGGGTGACTCAGATCAGCTCAGGCCAGGCACTGGCCACTCCCACACTGTTCCTTTCTTTCTAATCCGCTTCTCCTTCTCCTTGGGAAGGATTGAGGTCTCTGGAAAACAGCCAAAAAAACTGTTATGGGAACGGCAGGCCCAAAGAATGCTCAAGCGTCAGGAGGATCTGGGCACTGAAAGCCACTTCTGTTCCCCTCCCTTTGTTGAGGGGGGTGGGGAAAGGCTTCCAAAGCCATAACTCCTTTCAGTGGGATTTAGAAGACATATAAAGGGCCCGGCTGATGACTTGCCTCCTCATTCTGCAGTTGGTGCCAGAAATCTCGATCCTCCACTGGGAGAAAATGTCTATCCAGTAAGTATCTCTGGGAGATTTTTTTAAGATGCTTCAGTGGGTTGATGGTAAATAGGTATTTCAAGAGCTCCTGAAGAGAAAGCACTGATTGACAATCTGTTTCAGGAAGACTCATGGGTCTTGCAGAGAAGATTTTTTTTTGTATTTATATTTATATTTATTTAGGTCTAAATTAAAATGGGGTTTGTGTGATTCAGACTGGGGCTTAGCAGCAGTTATGAACAGAGGTTCTCAGGCATACTCGAGTTCCACTTCTTGCAGGACCATTTCCTATGAGCCAATTACTTCATTTTTTAAGTCTAGGTTTTTCCACAGGTAGAGTGAGTATAACAATAGCACTTGCCCAATTGTGTTAGGAAATTACAATGAGCCAACACCACACAAAGCTTTTCTTACGGCATGTGGCACAAGGTAATTTAATTAGGGAGTCTGGTCCGAGCTCTCGCTTAAGAAGTTATAAAACAGAGTCGAAGCGAAGTGGTAGGAAATAAGCAGAAATATGGAACCTGAGTCTCCTGGTCTATTTTTGGATGGTACTTCAGCTCTTAAGGACTGATAGAGAAATGAGATGATGGAAAGAACAAATGGTATAATATAGGTAATAAAGGATGAGGTGGGTGCCTGACCCAAAAGTGTGTCATCTCCTACCCAACAGGAGGGAGAGGAATCAGTGACTCCGTGAAGCAAGAAATCGTGAGCGTTGAGAAGGCAAGGTCATTCTGTGGGAAAGACCCTGTCTAGGGTCAGTCATTGTCCAGAATGAGAACTGATAGCAACAGAATCTGTGGATTTGTCTTGAGATATATGGGAAAACTGCAGAGGGTAAACTGAAGTCCACAGTGACTACCAATATAGGAGTCATTTCCCCTGACATTAAGGAGTTGCACTGAGCTGGACCTTCCTCCATACCTGAGTACGTTTCTCTCCCCACCTTATTTGTGTGCTCCCTAGCCGAGCTAGCCTGGCTATAGCCAACTGCCATCGGGTCTGAGGCTGCCTTCTCTCCTAGAGTCCTGCCTCTGTCTCCACACTTATTTGAATATTAACATGAGCTCCTTCTTCACCCTTTTGCCATTTCAGAGTCGAACATCCTGCTGCTGGTTACAAGAAACTGTTTGAAACTGTAGAAGAACTGTCCTCGCCACTCACAGCTCATGTGACAGGTTGGTCTCACTCATCTTGAAGTCATCCTCCTTTTTCAGTTGAGGTCTTTTTTTCTCCTCTGGCTTCTTATTCATTGGCATCTCTCAGTATAGGCTCATCCTGTGGGATACAGAGAGGGATCTAGGGGTTCCGGTTTTTTATTTCAAGAACTCCTTTCCTCTCATTTACCTTTACTTTTCTTCACCTCTCTAATGCAGAAAAATGAAACTCTTCGAGGACTCAGACTATGCCTTTGTCATATTTTGAACTGTCAGTGCCTAACTCAGTGCTGGTACATTGCAAATGTCCTGTTAATGTCTGTCCCATCAGCTTCTCAATAAATCAGAGTCTGGTGACAAGTACCTGGGAATTACAGTAAAGGGTAGTGGATTTCATGGCCATTGTATTGGAAACAGGTTGGTTTTAGAGTCTGATGTAGGTGCCAATTGTAGCTATGTTATTTCATTATCTGAAAGCTGAACCCTATCAGCTACATAAAGCTTTCTGAGACTATTTTTTCACCTATCAAAAATCAAACTTTAACTACTGGGAATATTGTAGCGATTAAATGAGGTACTGTAAATAAAACTATCTCCTCAATATTTGATACAAACCAACCAGTAGATGGTTACACTATCATCATTATCCAAACATACTATGTGATCCATACTGTCACCTTGCTTTGCATAACATGGTATTGTGGAAGCGGTCAAATGCTGAGCAAGTCCCTCTCCCCCCACTTTCCTCCTTCGTGAAATAGAAAGAACAAGCCAACAGGCTACTGATCTGTAGGAATTTCATTTGCTTAAAAAATCCCTGGCAAGGAATTAAGCAAACATTGTCAATTGCTGTACCTTCTAAAGGATATAGGACCCGAACCTAATTGTAAAAATTGAAAGGCCTTTAAGACGTCTTGGATACCCCTGATTTTGCAGGTGTACAACTGAGGCCTATAGATGTCATGGCAAATTCTGATCCAGAATCCAGTACACCCAGCCCTGTGTACTTTCTGCTACAACCAATTGACTTTACCTGAGCAGTAATTCGTGCCCTTACAGGGATAGAACTCTAGGTTGTTTCATTTAAAAGGTTTCTTCTATGAAAGCCATCTGTTTATTAATTATTGATTCTTGCTCCTAATCTATCCCTCTACCCATCACTCCGTGAAAATATATCCAAAAAATTTAAATTATTTACAATTTGATGGTAAAAGGTCAACGGATTGATATCTAGATAAATCTATCCAGTGAAGAGTCCCCATTCCCTTACTCTTTTAAGCCCTTTATCCAAACTCTGAAACATTACCATACCTTCCCACCACCTGCAAGAAGAATCAAGTCATCAGACATTTTCCCAATGCTGTCCAGCCTGAGAGCTAGGAGTGAAAACTACTGCCAGGTTCATAAAGAGGCTGCCAATCTGGCTAATATAATCACTCCACCTTAGCACAGCCCAGCACAGCTCAAGGGCAGGGGTAAGAAACAACATTCTGTGGCTTGTCTTCATCTCAGGCAGGATTCCCCTCTGGCTCACCGGCAGTCTCCTTCGATGTGGACCAGGACTCTTTGAAGTTGGATCTGAGCCATTTTACCACCTGTTTGATGGGCAAGCCCTCCTGCACAAGTTTGACTTTAAAGAAGGACATGTCACATACCATAGAAGGTAAAGAAGCACTAGGTCCAATTCTCTCCCGTAGGAGTGGTGCCTAGCTCAGTTCCTCCTCCTACATGCTTTTTAACCTCCTGAACTCAGGAGGGGACCTGTAAACTTTCTTTCTTCCAAGAATCCATCTGGGCTGGTGTCTGCATGTGCACCTAGGACCCCTACTATGGTGAAAAAGAAGCAGCTAAGAGTTAGGGGTTTGGGGTCCAGTATGCCTAGCTTCCATTCTTATATTCACCAGACACTACTTGCCTAGGTGGGTGAACTTTAGCAAGATGTCAACCTCTAATTCTTGCTTTTGTCATCCATAAAATGGGAGAAATATAGAAGCTACTTCATAGGTTCATTGTAAGGATTAAGTGAGAGCACAGCACATCTGAAGCACCCAGTAATAATAAATGTCATTGTTATTGTTCTTGTTGTTATTATTATTACTATCTTGATTCCTTAACTTTTTTTATCATCATAAAGGTCTAGGAGGGAGGGAAGGATGTCACAAAGGAGGGAAGAACCAGCTATGTCATAGTGACACCAGAAAGATAATTTTTCTGAAAACAAGAGATGATTGCTAAAAGGCTTAAAGACCTGAACTACCATTCCAGGAAGCCTGCATCAACACCATAATATATCCTTATTTTCTACTTTAATATTCAAGCCTGTTAATGGTTTTGAGGCATTTTGAAAGATTTTAGGCATTTTGAAAAGATATCAACAGGCAGACCAAAGGGAGACATGAAATAATCTGGATAACTTAGACTGTAGTATAAGAGACACAGATAGGTCAAGCAGAAATTTATCAATACAAGCATATTTTAAATGTTCAGATAGAGATTTCATATGCCTTCTGAAGATCTGGGAGGTTTTTCCTCTTCATAAAAACATAAAATCAGATTTTAATTGGTTCTCCACATTCGAAACCCTAAGTAGTATATCCCATCTCAGCTCAGCTATGGTTCACAGATCTGCCTGTGCAAGAGATTGAATCCAAGAATACCTTCTTCTAAACACAGCAAATTCAATGTAAAAATTTAAGAAAACACAAGAGGGTCAGAGGGAAATGGAAAGGCATATAATTTATCACACCATGTCCAATATTTCTCCACTAAGTGTACATTGATAACTCATGGACCACAGGGAGTCAAAGGTCCAGTATGAACGTCCCATGAGCTACATGGTATGATATGGAAAGGTCATGTTATCCAGCACTGGCAGACTTGGGTTCTAACCCAACTCAGCTACATATGCCAATCACTTAACCTCTCTAAACCTCAATTTCCTCACCTGTCAGTGTGAGGTTTAAAAGACATAAATTTAAGTTCATGCAACATTGTCTTCCCCCCCCCTTGTTTATCCCAAGAAAAGAAGCTGGCAGTAGTCTTTATTCTTCATTCTTCATGTTGTGGATTTATGATTCTGACATGATGAGGACACAGAATGACAATTCTAAGCTCCACACAGTTTACACTGATTACCCTGGTCTTTGACCCTTTCCCGTGTCTCAATGTCCTTCAGGTTCATCCGCACCGATGCTTATGTACGGGCAATGACTGAGAAAAGGATCGTCATAACAGAATTTGGCACCTGTGCTTTCCCAGATCCCTGCAAGAATATATTTTCCAGGTAACTGAAACCAAATTGCATGTTATTAAAGACATTTTACACTAGCCCTTTTTCTATCATGACTTGAAGTTTATTGGACTGAAAAATTCATTTGCTTCTGCAGATTTTTTTCTTACTTTCGAGGAGTGGAGGTTACGGACAATGCCCTTGTTAATATCTACCCAGTGGGGGAAGATTACTATGCCTGCACAGAGACCAACTTCATTACAAAGATTAATCCAGAGACCTTGGAGACAATTAAGCAGGTAGGACACAGTGCTCAGGTGATGTCACTCAAGAATGTAAAATCTGGAATTTAAAATTAAATCACCTGTGCAATGTGGTGGACAGAATGTGAAAGCCAGCTTAAGTTTCAAATCTTTGCTTTGTCACCAACTACCAGTTATGTGACACGGAGGAAACTATTTCTTTTTCTGTGAAATTTTAAACACTTGTTACATAGATTGGCAGAAAACCATATGAAATACCTAGCACATGAGCTAGCAGGTGGCATGATGGTTAAGGTTAGATTCCACATAACCAACTATGTGATTCAAGTCTCAGACCCGGAGACTTGAAAATTATGCTAGGCACATGAATGTTTGTGTGCCTGAAATCCCAACAGAATAATAGAGGAGAAGGGGTTTTCAGTGTGGCTATCTCCCCTGAGTGGTGATTTCTCACTTTTCCTCTGTCTTTTTCTTTCTGTCTCTCCAGCTAGCTCACACACCCCATAGCAAAAACTAAAAACAAACAAATAAACAAAAAACCTAACATAGTAATGCATTTATGATACATATACTTATTGGATGCTTTTCATGTATAAGAATTTATATCAAATGCAAAGGATATACTAGTGAATAAGAAGACACGGTCCCTGCCCATCATGACTCTAAAGGCTACATGGACTTGACACATACTAGGTACAAAAAAAAAAAACCTTATTAATATTGGAAAGCCTGCTTTTCACAGTTATAGACAAATATGTTATACCAATTTTCACCATCTTACATATACTTCTTATTAGAAATGAAGCTATATCTAAATGAAATAACACAGGTCAAATTATCAGCAATATTAGAAAGTGATCAGTTTTACTTGAGAATTTAGGCAATCTCAATGCAATATTCTTAAAATAGATTCACACTTTCAACCAAAATTTATTAAGACAACAAATAGTTAGTAAGGCATTGCCCTTATCCTGGGTAAACTTAACATCACATCCAGATAGGGAAACAAAACAAGTATACAACTAAACTACACAAGGTCAAAAAAATGTGATGAGTCTCTTAACAGAAGAAAACCTTGGCACAGATAGATTTCTTCTGCCAGTGATTTGAGATGTAAAGTGAGGTCAGATAAAACAAGGTTCAAAGGGCTTACATTTGAGCTGGAGGTTAAAGTAGAGGTGAATTTGGAGAAAGCACATTCTCTATGGAAAGGTAACATGATCAAAGACATAGAAGTAGAAAAATAAAGAACATGTTCATAGAAACTTAAAAAAAAAAAAAAAAAAAAAATTTTTAAAAAAAAAAAAAAAAAAAAAAAAAAAAAAAACCTCTTTGGGCTGCGCTTGCAGTATTTCTTAATGGAGATACTCATGGCCTTGGAGAGGAGGTGACTCATCACTGTGGGGACTATCTCACATATTGCAAAAGCTTGGCATCCCTGGCTTCATCCACTCAACACCAGTCATGTCTTCAACCACTGCACAAACTCAAAATGCCCCTGACATTTCCAGATCTTCCCCTAGGGGGCATAATACTCCCAGTCGAGAAACCAGTGTCTAGAGTATGAAATGTCAAGGAGAATAGCCAGACACAGGGCTGGTGAAAACTCAAGCTTAAAAAATTAACTAAAAAAAATCAAAATTTGGAGAAAGCTGTTCAGCTAATTGGAAGCTACTCAAAGTCTATGTTGGTATGAGCAGAATTGTACTTTAGTATGTTTGATTGGGAAGCCATTTGTAAACTGTGTGGGACAGCAAAAGAGAGAGATAACTAGGAGGCTAGTGAGGCAGAATTCTAGAACAGATCTATCAATGCAATGATAGTATAAATAGAAAGGAAAACTAGTCTCAATATTAGGTCTCAGTATCACAAGCTGATTTATAATTAACAGTCTGTTTACTAAATCTTAATATATACTCTCAACAACACTTTCTTTTAGTTGTTGGTTTATGTGTGTAGCTATATATAAGTGTGTATGTGTGTGTAAATCATTTAGAGAAGAACTAAATCTAAGTTTCTTTTTTTTTTGTATTTGCTATTGTGCTTTTTTTTTTTTTTTTTTTTTTTTTTTTTTTTTTTTTTTTTTGGAAGAGGTTTTTACTATTTAGGGTGTGCGCTCGCCAGAAAGACAGAAAGCGAGAAATCACCCCCCCGCCAAGGGGGGATGCCACACCACAATTCCTTCTCCTCTCGGGATCTTGGGCATGCATGCACACATGCCCAGAATGAGTTTAAGCTACTGGGCCTGGGACTCAACCGCAGTAGGCTATATGGGAGTTCAGCGACATAGCCATTACACTGTTGGTCCCTATTGTGTTTAATTTTTAAATTTTTTATACTTACTTATCGTACATCTTACCAGCATACAATATGATTTGTCAAAGCATATATGCATTGCACATTACACAAATCAATGGGAGAGAAGGGTTCATGGAAGCTAAGTTTCTACGCCATTCATTTGATGCTGATAATGAATCTGTATTCCAACCACCTGACATTTAAACGCACATTATAGCAGCTATGGTATAACTCCAGAACACATTGCATTAGGGATAGGTTCTGTTGTGAATAATACTGAAGCCAGACTTCATATAAAAATGTAGTCTGGAAATTTTGAGGAGTTTTTTTGTTTGTTTACTATTATTCAGATAGCCTCCTAACTAGTGGTTTTGCCTTCAGCCTGATCCCCTTAAATGCAGCCTGATCTCCTAATGCAGCTGGAGTAATTTTTCTAAAATGCAAACATAAATGTGTTACTCCATCTAGGGAATTCATAGTTTCCAAAATAAGTCCCACGAGGGCCTTTGTGGCTAGCCCATTCGCATTTCCCTTCCTCCATGTATGCCCTTCACAGGCAACCAGGCTCTATCACCAGTATACAAACAGCATGCACAATTTCACAGTTCTTAACATTAGGACTCCCACTCCCACAGTCATCCTACTTAACCTGGTTAACTTCTTCTCACCTTTCAAACATCAGTCATAGCCATTGCCTTTGAAAAGCTTGCTTAATCCCCCAGTCTGGGTTAAATGGCCTTTCTCTACAGACAGTGTTTTGCACATGCTGAGCTTTACGTCAGCTTATGGGCTTAACAGAGTGCCATCCGATAGAATTTTCGGCAATGAGGGAATGCTCTGTATCTGCAACTTTCAAGTGCTATCGAGCGCTGGAAGTGTGGTTAATGTGACTGAGGAATTGAATTTGAAGTTTTGCCTGATTATAATTAACATACATTTAAATTGCTACATGTAACTAGTAATTACCATGTTGGACAGCACAGAACTAGACTGAAGTTTCTGAAAAAGCAAGAACCTTCTCTGTTTCCCTATATCCTGGCACAGTGCCTAGCGTATACTAGAAGCTCAAAGAATATTTCATGAATGATTGATGAAGGAATAAATTAATATGTTACTTATTATTTAAATAAGAGTGTTAAAACACTCTATGCTTTTAAAATAGTCTACTAATAAAAAAAAGAATTTGAGGCAGATACATTATATACTCTATGAACTAGTCAGTCAGTGATTATTTATTAAGTCCCACATACAAATTCTAGTGCTCAGTTGCCAACATGTGCTTCTGTATCCTTGAACAAGTCACTTGACTTCTCTAGGACCTCGATTTCTCCTTCTACAAACCAAGAAGTTCAGGTTCCATCTATGGTTCTGAATTTTTTATGAGTCTTCAAATTGAATTAAAGTGTTGAATCTTCTCTCCAAAATGTTTGCCTTTCATTTCAGAAGATTCATCATACTGATGACTTCTATTTAGGTTAAGACTTTCTATTCTAGATTAATCCTGGGGTCCCTTTTAGTTCCCAAATATTACTATGTGTAAGACACTGGGTTTGGTATTCAAGTTGTATGCAAAATTACCATTTTCGTAAATCAAATTTTACTGAATACCAGGCCAACAGGATGTATGGAGGTTAAGGAGGCTGAATTCCGTATGGTCAACTGAACAGTTAGAGTCCTTTGGAAGGACTCTTTCAAGTCCAGTGGCTTGAAAAACATGCCGGGCCCATATACGTGGGTGCCCTAAACCCTGAGAGAAGAAGGAAGAAGGGATCACAGTGTGACCATCCCCCCCAGAGAGTGATTTCTCACTTTCCCTCTTTTTCTCTCTGTGTCTCTCTCTAGCAAGCACATGCACCATACAATAAAATAAAAACAAACAAACAAAAAAAAAAAACAGAACAAAACAAAATTAAATTACTGAATACCAGCTATCTTGTAAAATTCAATCTAACAAAACTGAATTTGTAAGGTCCACCTCAAACAATGTGCAAAAAGAAAACTAACTAGAGCAATATAAGGTTGAAGAAACTTCAGAAATATTTACGGGAAAAAATGGGATTAAAACATGAGCTCATTTTGGTGCAAAATATTTTGCACCAAATATTTTGACAGTTTCTTGATAATCATTCAGATGATAGGATTATTTGAGTTCATACAAAATTTGGTTTAGTATTGCTTAGTATAATCTGTGTCACCTGGAAACCTGTTAGAAATACAGATCTTGAGTCCTACCCCAGGCAGACTGAATGAGAAATTTGGAGAGTGGTACCCACAATCAGTATTTTGCACTAAAATATTTTGAAATTCATAGTTTTTCACAATGCACATTTTCCATGAACTCTTTGAAGACTCCCCCTCATTTATATCTAATAATAAGCACAGCCATGGAGAGCTCCAGATTTCAGACACATGAGAAGTCAGCATGAGGTCGGAGGTGGGACTTCAGGCAGACAATGGAAAAAGGTAGGATGAGAAGGAAGAGAAAGTGAACTTAGGTTGAGAATGCAAGGGGTAGTAGTGGAATCAAACCTAGGGACAAAGGTCTAATTTCACTTCTTTCTCTTAACATGAATGCACTGATCTCCTGCCACAGGTTGATCTTTGCAACTACGTCTCAGTCAATGGAGCCACTGCTCATCCCCACATTGAAAATGATGGAACCGTTTACAACATTGGTAATTGCTTTGGGAAAAATTTTTCAATTGCCTACAATATTGTAAAGATCCCTCCACTGCAAGCTGGTGAGTTTACCAATTTTTCCTCTTCCAAAACCAAAATCTATAGTGTGAATAAGTAACTGGGAACACAGAATTCCATAACAGAATATGAGAATGGCATTATATGCATAGTTGATTGCTCAGACTTTGGAACAACTGCCCCCACCCATACCCGACTGAAACCCAAAGGACCATAGCAAGAAATAACACCTTGAAAATACAGAAAGCAGGAAGCCATGTTCTACTCGAAAATGCTTCAAGATATCATGCATATGTGAATTTGATCATGTGTGATTTAGATTTATAGCCACTAAACATTTATTGAGCACTTATTCATGTGCCAGACAAAATTAAATAAAATAAGCATGCATACATACATAATAGCATACATGCATATAAATGTAGGTAAACTAAATATTTTGAGTTTAATTCACAAAATCACAAACAAGTCTATTGACAGTTATTAATACTATAGAAAAGGAAATAAAATTGAGAGAATTCTCCTTTCATCTTCCATTCACTGACACTTTCTTGATAATCATTCAGATGATAGGATTATTTGAGTTCATACAAAATTTGGTTTAGTATTGCTTAGTATAATCCCTGTATCACCTGAAAACCTGTTAGAAATGCAAATCTTGAGTCCTACCCCAGGCAGACTGAATGAGAAATTTGGAACATACCCACAATAAGTATTTTTAAAAGTCCATTATGTGATTCTGATGCACACTAAATTTGACAGGTCACTTACCAGAAATAAACTTTTCTTTGTTCAGAGTGATTTTTGCTATAGGGTATGTGTGTTTGCTAGAGAGACAGAGAGAGACAGAGACAGAAAGCAAAAAGTCACCCCCTGGGGGGATGGCCACACCACAATCCCTTCTCCTCCATTTTTCTCTTGGGATTTTGGGTACATGCACACATGTACCCAGCATGTTTTAAGTAGCTAGGTCCTGGACTCAAACCACTATGGGCCACATGAGAGTCCAGCTACATAACCATTATGCCATCTGCTGGTCCCAAGTAGAAATAAACTTTAATGTGCATAAAAATTATTATACAGGGCAATTGACACAAACACATCTATACTATAATTTGGGGGCATCTTAAGATACATTTTGACCTTTCTAAAGTTTTGCCCTATTCCCCTGACTCAAAACCCACCTCCAATTGTCACAAGGTGTGTACCTGCCACAATTTTATAGGAATGCACTTTTACTTTATTCTTGAAGTTTTTATTTGTTTTTTTCAGAGAGAGAGATGGGGGGGGAGAAAGAAAGAGTATTCCCAACATGGTCTTGATGCTGGGATTCACCCCCAGCTTCAGTCAGCCCTGGCTCATTGGCATATGCCTGCCCAGTGTACTCAAGGGGGGCGGGGGGGAGTGTCCCTGGACATGAATCTGGAACCCTCCCATGTGGGACAGCCTCACAGACCATCGAGTTTTACCACTGTATCACCATCTGGTTCTCCACTTTTTCAAATCTGCTGCTATTTGGATTTTCCTGGGTGATTTCAGCTTCACATAAAATTTTAGTAAGAAATGCCAATGACTGAGGAAACAAAAATAATCTCTGGAAAAAGGAGTCAAGATCTGAAAATGTATTTCTTTGCTTGTATAAGCTGTTCTAAATGCATGTATTAAAAAAAAATTAAAAATAAGAGGCTGTTCCAAAGCCTTTTTAAAACCACTTTATTTCAGACAAGGAAGATCCAATAAGCAAGTCAGAGATCGTTGTACAATTCCCCTGCAGTGACCGATTCAAGCCATCTTACGTCCATAGGTAACTTGAAGGCCTGCTATGAATCTTCAGGAAAACTCAAGTCTAGAGATCTACTTTGCCTACCTTTGATACCAATCCTGATCACAACATTTTCTTGCAGAAACCTAAATTTAAACATAATTAATTTCATGTAGGCACTGTTGATTCATGTAATTGAGCATTCCTTGTGCATACTTGTTTCTCTGTGACCTGAACACCAGCCTTTCCATTCACAAGCCCATTCGTATTTCTGAACAGTTTTGGTCTGACTCCCAACTACATTGTTTTTGTGGAGACACCTGTCAAAATTAACCTGTTCAAGTTCCTTTCTTCATGGAGCCTTTGGGGAGCCAACTACATGGATTGCTTTGAGTCCAATGAAACTATGGGGGTAAGTCTTAAATGTGTCAAGTGTGTGATTCTGAAGATGTGTTTTATCATGTGCGTTCTTTTTTCCTTTTTAAATACATCAAAATCTTTCCTTCAACTTTTTAAGGTTTGGCTTCATATTGCCGACAAAAAAAGAAGGAAGTACCTGAATAATAAATACAGGACATCGTCTTTCAATCTCTTCCATCACATCAACACCTATGAAGACAATGAGTTTCTGGTTGTGGATCTTTGTTGCTGGAAAGGGTAAGAAAGGACATTGAGTAAATGTTACATCTCTGGGTGCTCCTGAAAATTAACAGGAGGTGCTGCTCTCATTGTTTAATCTGAATCACATCTTAAAAACACAAGCAGTATGGGAGAGTGAAAAAAATGTAATTGAAAAAGCAGTAGGGAGTTTAGGTAATAAGAAACACAAGGTGAACATCAAAACAAACCAGATTAATGGAAAAACAATCAAGTCCATGAACCACACCTGAAAATAAAAGGTACCGTGAACTGAGAAGTGAACATAAACTTAACCCAATTGCTGCCTTGAGCCCCAACCCACCCACTCTGGGATTGGGAGAAAGAAGCATGCCTTTTTTTTATTTCATACTAGCCAGGCCACTAAAAAGATAGTATTCCTAGACACACAAACAGGATGGTGACAAAGGTGCAGAAATCATGGAAGGTGTCGTTAATTAAACATATCTATGACACAAGTTTCTATTTTTCCCCCCCCTTTCTTTTCACTCAGCATAGACAGAAAGAAATGATTCTAATATATCAGGGTCATTAACAGTTTGGGGACTGTGGAATAAAAAACAGACAGGCATTTTGCTTTCAAAGGCATGAACTCTCTCTCTAAACTTATTTGTTATTGTCAGTGCTCATATTCAACTTCTTATTTTTGCAGATTTGAATTTGTTTATAACTATTTATATTTAGCCAACTTACGTGAGAACTGGGAAGAGGTGAAAAAAAATGCCAGAAAGGCTCCCCAACCTGAAGTCAGGAGATACGTACTTCCTTTGAATATTGACAAGGTAAGCTCCTTCCACATAGGTTTCAGATATAACCAGAATGTCTCATCTCTCTCAGGAATTGTTCTACTGCTTCATGTTTATACATGAAGTCTTGAAATTTCAGAGCTGGAAGGAACTTTAAAAATAAACTAATTAAAACTCTCCTCATTTTACAAATGAGGAAACTGAAGCTCAGAAGTGATGTGACTTAGCAAAAGCCAACTGCAGCAGAGCCAGGGTGAGAACCAGGTTTTAAGTTTCTAAATCTGCTATGCTTTCACTTACAAAATTGTTTTAAAAATACACTTTCTTGGTGAATAGTGCAGACCCACTGATTTCTAGGCTCCTTTGTCAATATATGAATACTTTAAATAATTCGAAATTCTGGAGAGATAAAGCATTAAAAAGTTCCCTTGCAGAAGAATCAGTCTATTCATTTGGTTTTCTATAAATCTGAAAATATCACTATAGGATAAAAATCACTAGTAGCAGTGATCTCTTTATTTCTACTTTTTCTTCCCTATATTCAGTTACTTCCTTTCTAAAATAACCAAAGTGACATCTACACTTTTTAGTGTGATGGAAATGCCAGTCATAATCAAGGAAAATGTAATTTTTACATGAAAATATATGCATATACAGTCTCTTTTACAACTATAAGCTCCCTAGTTGCACAAAAGAGGTTGAGGCAGCTAAATAGAATATAAAATATTGTGCCAAGTGCTTAGGTCAGATGTAGTAGAAATAAAAGCTATTTAGGGTCAAATACTCCTTCTCTTAATCAAGATTGTGTACTCCATAAAGAATGAGAAAGAAGAGGTTGAGGCTGGACGGTAGAGACAGGTAGAAGAGCTATAAAGATGAGATCAACAGCGTAATGGCTATGTCGCTGGACTCCCACGTAGTCAACTGCGGTTCGAATCCCAGACTTGGTGGCTTAAACTCACACCAGGCGCATGTGCGTGCGTGCCCAAGATTCCAAGAGAAGAATGGAGGAGAGAAGGGATTGTGGGATGGCCCTTCCCCCTAGGGGGTGATTTCTCTCTTACTGTCTCTCTTTCTGGTGAGCACATGTGCTCTATTGCAAAAACCTCTCTAAAAATAAATAAATAATAGGGAGTTTAAGTGGGGGGTTGTGTATAGGACAAGATCAAATCTATGTTTCAGAAGGCTCACTAGCAACATCATTGAGGACAGATGGTAAGGTGGGGAACTGAGAATCTAAATGTCCTATTAGAGGATTCATGCAATGTGTAATAAATAAAAGGAAATGAATACCTATATTAAATAAACTGCAACTGTGAGGTACAGGAAGGAACAAGGTGAAGACATATTAAGGCAGTAGGATCAATAGGAGTTGGTGTCTAATTAAATGGAGAGGTAAGGGAGGCGATGAAGTTAAGGCTGACTTTTTCAGCTTTCTGTCCTGAGCAGTTAAGTGGATGATAATACAATTTGTCTAACTGGAAACAGAATTAGGAAGAGCTGCTTTGCAGGAAAAGAATAAGATTTATTTTGTATCTGTTGAGTTGAAAGTCCCTACTGGTCGTCTCAGCAAAACTGTTGATTAGATAATTGGTAAACACGCATCTGGAGCTCAGAAGAGAGATCACAGTGAGATAAATCTGGGTACTCTAAGACACTCTTGCTTTTCTCTTAGAAAATATTTCTCTGGCGTATAATTAAGGGCCCATAACATACTTACTTTAGGTTAAGCTCTGTGGTGCAGTGGCAATGTGCTACTCAAGAGAAGCCAGATCCCAGACGGCAACCATGGTTTGAATCCCTGTACAGTCTGCCTGAAACACACTGGACACACAAAAGTGTCCAGGATTTAATGGGCTGGAAGGCAAGAGGAAGAGAACAGTGGTAAGATCAGACCTTGTAGACAGTGTTCCTCTCACTCTTTCACCCTCACCCTCACGTATACACACACACGCTCTATCATTACTAAAGAAAGAAAATATATGTTAAACAAATGAGTCTGTTGATTTCATTAAACTGATTTTGCTAATAATGCTAAAATTACAATCGTCTTTAAATTAAGGAAATAAAAGAACCTCATTTAGCTTAAATATCTAGATTCCAAAATAAGAAGATAGAATTTTCTAACTGGATGGTGATCATCACCTGAAAAATGACGACCCATGATAGAATAAGGCACTTCAGTGATGATAAAAAATGCTAAATCACCCTAATCCTTACCTTTTCTTTCTTCCAGTAGTTCACTGAGAAACTACTACAATAGGCATCACACTAGTAATTTTAGTGGATACATCAAAAGGATATATTTCACATCCTCATGGAATCATTACTTAGTGTGTTAGGGAGAAGAGAGATAATTCAATGAAGATAATGTGTTTCAGTCTAGGATGTACTATGAGAGAACAATTCATTGGTGGCTGGTCAGAGGATGGAGTAGATGTACTTGTTTGGGGAGATTTGTGGAACACAGTTATTTGCAGTGAGTAGTATTTTAGTAGGTGGTGATGGGATCGAAGCAGAATAATTAAGGCAGGACAGTTTGAGAGACAGAGAAGTGGGGAGGCAGATAGAACTGCCTACCCTGTACTATCTTCCAGTGATCCAATTGGTTGGAATGTAGCCAAGGTAGTGGAGTAAATGGGATAAAAAAACAGGTCATAATCTTGAAACTCTTTCAGTACAGGCCAGGCAGTTTGCACTTTATTGGGCAGGTAATGGGGAGATAGTTAAGGTTTTTGAGCAGAAGAAAATCTGTTAGTCATTAGTACTGAAATGATGACCAAATATCTTAGGATAGATGAGACTTCTAGCAGGGAAAATAATCATACTTTAGAATAGTTTTTCAAGGCCCAGCCAGTGGCATGGTGGTTCAAGCAGCTGGACTCCACATAACCAACTGCATGGCTTGAAAAACACTCCCAAGAGGAGAATAGAAGAGAAGAGATTGCTGTGTGGCCATCCACCAAGGGGTGAGAAGGGGAGTGCTTTCTCACTTTCCCTTCAGTGAGTGCACATGCCCCATAGTAAATATATTTTCTAATTTTAAAAAGTAAAAACAAGTTTCCCAAAAGAAAGATTAAACATTTGCTTGTTTTTGAAGTGAAGATTTGATAGCCAGAGAATACCCAGAGAAGAAAAGGCAGTTAAATGTTGTAACTCAGGAAATGCTTATATGCAGAAAGTGATAGGAAAAGAAGAGCCAGGGACTGGCCCCAAAGCCTACTTCTTAAGGGAGCTGGGTCCCAAATAGTTAACAACTGTCCAAGTTTTGATTCAGATGGCTTGAAAAACATACTTGGTGTGTGTGCCCAAAAATGCTGACAGGATCGAGAAATGGAGGGAAAGGATTGTGGTATGACCATGCCCTTCCTTCTGGCTCTCTATCTGTCTGGTTAGTGCATGCACCCTCTAGCAATTAGAGAGAGAGAGATAGAGAGAGAGAAAAAACAAAGAGTCAGAAAAAGAAACAGAAAGAGCCACCATCTGCTAAGAGAAGGTAATGCCTCATAGGTTAGGGCAGGAGAGGATTCTAATGGAGTCCATCACTATAAACATGTTGGAAAGAGCGAAGAACCAAACACTAGATTTGGCCATCTCCAAGGGAGGAGAGTGAGAGACCTAGAAATCAGGATTCAAGGTATTCAGGGGGAGAAGTTAGGGAATATGTGGAAGCAGTTACTGAGTCTACATTTTTAAGATTTGGCAGTAAAAGGAAAAATAGAAAGCTAATGAATTAGGGGAAAGAGAGGTAACAAGCAGGTTGAGGGAAAGGTGGCAAAGGCTGAGAGGAGAGAGTACAAAATATCTGAGGTATCAGTTGCTGATTAAGGTAATGACAGTGTCTTTAAAATACAGCTCTATTACTTTTGAAAAGGCATTACTTGTAAATAGTCAAAAAATCAAAATTATATAAAGAGTTTATACTCCAACTCTATCTCAACGTACTCCAGTTCATTCCATCTTAGTTACTATGTGCGATTTTTATTATTATCTGTCTTATTTTTGTTTTTGCAAATACTGAAAATACATATATGTGCATACATATACATATGATTATTTTTCATTCTCTTACCCTGAAAATAACTTTCAACGTCCACTATTTGGGCCTTGCTTTTTTTCATTTAACAACATATACTAAAGATCTTACATTCTATGTATTTCATGAACTTTTTATGGACTATTTAATTTATTACAAGTCTAATAGGCATCACTTGACTTTACTATTACCTATGACTGTGACCCTTCCATAACTTGTTTTATGACACACTCTACCACTTTTGATCTTACAACATCATTTGGTTCTTACAACATCATACAGCAATTCCCATCATGCACAGGGAAGGAGGAAGAGAAAAAGGAGGAGGGTCTGGGGATGGCTCTTTGGGGCTCTTACACAGTGTTTTCCACAGTGGATCATGACCCAGTAGGGGTGTGGTGTCAGGATATTAGATTTATAGATTATGGAACAGAATGACACAAGATGTTAGGACATGCAGCATGTGGGAAAGAAAGTGTTCTCTCATAAATGGTCTTAGTCCATTGACTGTACTACATTTTTACTATCCGTTAGACCTTTAAAAATTGCCTTTGCTCCTTAGTCGATTTAAATTCCATTGTCAATAATCATAATTACTCTCTTATAGACCCCATTTCTCTTGCTTCTTTCTTACTTTATCAAACTCATCTGGCAAAATCACAGTCCTAGTTAAATTCAACTCTCCACCTACTCCATGCTTGTAAACCTCTGAGGCTGAATTTAACTGCTGAAAACACACACTTGTGTTAATTGGTCCAATTTTAAATGCATGACCACAAACCTTACTGCTACATTTCCCAACTTCACCTACTCTCTCCTTTTGCTTGTTAAATATTCCCTATTCTCCTCTCTTCCAACTTTCAGCACTTCCTACCTTCCAGCCTCCACACTCATATGCAACTGATGACTATGCTTCCTATTTCTCTGAAACAAATGAAAGAAATCAGAAAAGAACCATCGACTCCTGCCACCGCATCTATCCACCCACCTACATCTGTAC